TCATATAAATTGGAACGAAGAGAGTATCATATTTCGTTCTTGCTTTTATGATTGACTTGTCTACTAAGTGGGTTAGGCTTCATCACGACCGATAAGTAACGGATTTAGATTAATAAAGGCGAGGAAATCTATGCACTCTCCATGTGGATAAAAGCAGAAAAAAGGATATAAACAAATCGATACTTTAACTGAAAAGTGGAATGCGCTTAGTAAAAAGATGCAATTCAGATGGATAAGTAAGTGGAAAGTGTTTGGTTAAAACTTAAAAAGCATTTAACGGAGGCCATATAACATTAAAAATTAAGTAAAGGATGCTAAAAGAAGAAAACAAAGGACCCTCCAACCTACTAAAAGTGGAATATGATGCAGATTGGCTTTTTCTAAAAAAAAGTACAATTACTTTGCATCGTTCGTTTTTAATAACTCATTAAAAAAATTCAAATGATTCTAAGGAATCTTGTGGAAGCTGAAAGCCACTAATTCATTAAGTGGGGAGGAGACATTATCCCAGCGAAAAAAGGATCTAAATGTGGAAAGTGTACAATATATGTCATTTTCCATTATGTTCCTTTTGAAAGTGAAATTCTTGGTAGACAAAGGAACTAAAGGGATTGAATATGTATAGCAATCTTGGGTTGAATAATGGAGCTTTTATGTTAGTTTAGAGATTTGAGATGTTTGCTCCTTGGAATTTGGAGCTAGAGGCTTCTAGGAATATTACAAGACTCCACTATTAAAAAAATTGGGACTTAACTATATTTGTTATAAACAGAATTCTATTTATGGTGAATGTCTATATTCTAGAAAGATTCTAGGATTTGTTACGTGGTGGTTAAGTTACTTTTCCCTTATATTTCACTGATTTCCTACTCGCATTCCCTTCTTTCCTCTTTCGCTTCTGGATTTGTAGTTTTGGTATGATTTGGCTTCAAATTGGCAATGTGTACTGTCCTTCACTGTATTAGATGTTAGAACGTCTTTGAAATAAAATACTTTATTTTCTTTCCATTTTCTCTGGAAATATTAATATGTATTTGTATATTTCCTTTTGTACGTGAAAACCACGGGAAACAAATATGGATATCTCACAAAGAAAACTTGGATCAATGTCTAATTGTAAAAATATTTGTTTAATTGATTCATGTACGACACATACAATATTCAAATAAAAGAAATATTTCTCTGCATTTAAGTATGTGTAAGGAAGATGTTACTACAATTTCTGGTAGTAGTAAATTAATTGAACGCTCTGGAAGAGCTACTATAACTCTGCCTAAGGGAATAATACTTGTCATAGAGAAGGCAATGTTTTCCTCCAAGTCCAAGAGGAACTTGTTGAGTTTTAAAGATATCCGCCGAAATGGATATCATATTGAGACAATAGATGAGAATAATCTTGAATATCTTATCATTACCAAGAATGTCTCTAGCCAAAAGAAGATTATTGAGAAGTTCCCATCTTTAACTTGTGGCCTGTATTGGACAAGAATTAGTGCAATTGAGACACATTCTATTGTAAATCAAAAGGTTACTGATTCCAATACTTTTGTACTTTGGCATGATCGATTGAGACATTTCTGGATCAATTATGATGAGACGAATTATAGAAAACTCAAATGGGCATCCGTTAAAGAATGTAAAGATTCTTTTAAATAATAAATTTTCTTGCACTTCTTGTTATCAAGACAAGTTAATTATAAGACCATCACCAACAAAAGTTGGGATTGAGTCCCTTGCGTTTTTGAAACGTATACAAGGGGACACTTGTGGACCTATTCACCCACCTAGTGGGTCGTTTGGATATTTTATGGTCTTAATAGATGCATCCTCTAGATGGTCTCATGTGTGCCTATTGTCATCTCGCAACCTCGCGCTTGCAAAATTAGTGGCACAAATAATTCGATTACGGGCGCAATTCCCTGATAATCCAATTAAGTCTATTAGACTTGATAATGCTGCTGAGTTTTCATCCCAAGCATTTACTGATTATTGTCTATCAATTGGGATAAAAGTGGAACATCATGTAGCTCATGTTCACACTTAAATGGCCTTGCAGAATCTTTAATTAAACGTCTGCAATGCTAGTTCGTCTCAGACCGACAAATTATCATAAATATTCTCCGTTGCAATTAGTTTCGGGTCATGACCCTAATGTATCCCATTTAAGAACTTTTGGATGCGTAGTATATGTTCCAGTAGCACCGCCATATCGCACCAAAATGGGTCCCCAAAGAAGCTTAGAAATATATGTTGGGTTTGAATCGCCATTCATTATTCGTTACCTCAAAACATTAACGAGGTATTTATTCACTGCTCGATTTGCAGACTGTCGATTCGATGAGACACTTTTCCCAAAATTAGGGGGAGAAATTGGTGAAACTAAACGAGAAATTTTGTGGAAAAAACCATCATTGTCTCATCTTGATCCACGTACCTCTATTTGTGAAAAAGAGGTGCAAAAGATTATCAATTTGCAAAGAATAAATAGCAAATCAAATGCAGACGCATTTACGAATTCTCTTATATTGCTTGTTCTCATTAATCAATAGACCAACTGAAATTGGGATTGAATCCCATGAATGTTGGAAATAGAAAAGGTGAATATGGGCCCATTCACCTGCCGTGTATACCACATAAGATGCATCTATGAGATGGTTACATGTGCAATTATTATTAACACGCAACCTGATGTTTGCAAGATAACTTGCTCAATAATTTAATTCAGAGCATAATTTCCAGATTTTCTATTCAAGACTTTATCTTGATAAGTTGGTTATACCACAATTGATTTAGCAAAATGATTTATTGAGTGCATCCACTTAATAGCTAAACTATTACTTATGAGAACTAAGTTGTTTATATCAGTTTGATATACATTATATACGAAAGTATATTACATTCTCCCCTCACAAGTGGTTCAGGGCCAGGAACCAAATAATTCCATCTTATTATTATTGATGTGCGGTGTATATTTTGATTAACACCATAATGCACAAAGATGGATTCCCAAAATTGAGGAATAAAGTTAGTTTTTCTAATATGAGGGAGAGACATGATAAACAATTGAGAAAAAGTTACGTGGAAAGAATTATCATTTGTCCATCTAGATCCTCGAATAAGATAATATGAACTTGAAGTTCATAAAAATATAATTCATCTGCAATATATTGCAAAGCATGCCAGACGCATTTGCTGACCCAAAGAAAGTAACTATATTCTCACTGAAAATGCTCATATTTAGAATAAGTCCTAGAAGGACAAAGTCTATGGCACGCTTAAAGCGTATAGACTGATCGGTTTCAAATAAACTTCTTGATAAAGAAGATGAGCAAATGATCAAAATGATCATAATAAAAGAGGCAAGTGATCTAGAAGATCACATGACATAACACTTCATAAATCTAGGTTCAGGTACCTGAAAATATGAATGAAGAGATCTCTATGTTATGTCTTTATGAAAAAGATAATATTGGAACCGATATAAAATGTTCGTCGGCGACATCTTTCATAGCGCTAAGTATCGATGAGGATCTTAAGTTTGTCGAATACAGACCCAAAAAAATATTGGCCAAATAGAAGAGTCGCAATTCAAATAGAATTGGTTTCATATGAAAGACAAGTATTTGGACCTGCAGTTCAAACACTTGAAAATATAAAGTCAATGATATGTACAATCACTTTTCGATATCTTATTTGTCTAGTATGACATGAAAACTTGATATGCATCTAATTAAAGTCTATTATATGACTTATATGACAATTCTTGAAGGATATTGCTAAAAACATATAAAATTCTTGGTCATGAAGTACTACATCCTACGTGCAATTTGTGCACATATGTATCTTGCTATAACTATAAGCATGATAATGTGATAGTGAGAATTTTTCCATCTATGGAGACACTGAAAAGGCTATTCCGCGACATTATATAAATGCATTATATATATACAAGAATGATGATTTCAAGGTGCAACATATTTATTCAAGTGATAATATGGCTGATTTGTTCACAAAATCTCTATCAACATCAACCTTCAAGAAGCTAAGAACAAGAACAATATTGCAGAAAAAGAGAGAGAGAATTCTTATTGAATTGGGATGATTTATAATGGAATAAAACCCCTCTATTTATAGGAGAAAAGTAATATTGAATTTACAATGGAATTGAGAGAATTCTCTCTTTTTCTGCAATATTGAATTTGTACGTCCGAAGTATGCTAATATTGATAAGGGGATAAACTATTGAATCATCATATGACTAACTGCTACATCAGCAAGTGATAAGCTCATGCGTTATCGGGCAAATTCTATTGAGACTTTCGTTATTAGTAGCCAAAACAGTACGTTATCAGTAGATCTCGAGCAAATTCTATTTGCTCTATAATCCAACTATTATGTGTTCGTTTTCTCTCTTCCTTGCTATGAGCTATGTTAAATACTAGATTAAAAACTGTAGAATAAAAAACATGTCGGTGGACGTGCCGGAGTGGTTATCGGGCATGACTAGAAATCATGTGGGCTTTGCCCGCGCAGGTTCGAATCCTGCCGCACGTTTTTTTAAAAAAAATTTCCTTCCCACTTTGTGCCTGCATATACAAAGAACTGCCACTTTGCTAGTTATGGTTTTGGTTTCCACAATGAACAACAACAACTCCTATGGTAAGGTTCAAGTAAGGTACAAACAATCATCGTTCTTGATATTTACACTAAAGCAACAATGCAAAACCATTTCACAAATTCAACAAGTCCATGCTCGAGCCATTACCAATGGCCACCTCTCTTCTTTTCACTCTACTCTTATCCTCACTCAGATCCTTCATTCTTTCACTTCCCTTCTCTCTTCTCTTCCTTTACAACCCAACACCCATCGCTATGCCACTCATTACGTCACCTCCATTTTCAGCCTTATTCACAACCCGTCATCTTTCTGTTACAACACTATCATTCGAGCCCACACACTTCTCATTTCCCCAAATACCTCTTTTTTATATTTCCTCAAAATGCGTCGAAAATCAGTCCCACCAGACTCCTACACTTTCCCCTTTGTTCTCAAAGCTTGTGGTTTAGTAAATTCTCTGTCCCTCGGCAACACCCTTCATTCTCAAGCCTTGAAGTTTGGGTTTTTAGCTGACGCTTTCGTGTGTAATAATCTTGTTCATGTATATACCGTCAATGGTAATACTAGTGACGCCCATAAGGTGTTTGATGAAAGTTGTTGTAGAGATGTTGTTACTTATAATTTAATCATTGATGGGTATGTCAAAGCAGGTGAGATGGGCAAAGCGAGAGAAATGTTCGACGAAATGACTGAAAGAGATGCGGTTTCTTGGGGTACCCTTTTGGCGGGATATGCAAAAATGAACAAATGTAAAGATGCCATTGAACTATTCTATCAAATGGTTTCATTAAACGTAAAATTTGATAATGTTGCATTGGTTTCTGCTCTCTCAGCTTGTGCCCAACTTGGGGATCTAGAGAAGGGGAAGACCATACATGATTATATTAGGAAGAAGGGTATTCACATAGATTCATACTTGTCTACTGGATTGGTAGATCTATATGCCAAATGTGGGTGCATTGAGATTGCTAGGGAGATATTTGAGACAAGCTTGGAAAAGAAAGTGTTTACTTGGAATGCTATGCTAGTTGGATTAGCCATGCATGGTCATGGCCAGTTATTGTTTGATTACTTCTCAAGAATGGTGGAAGGTGATGTCAGGCCTGATGGGGTAACTTTTTTGGCATTGTTGGTGGGATGTAATCATGCAGGTCTTGTTCAGGAAGCTAGAAGGCTCTTTGGAGAAATGGAAGAGGTTTATGGTGTTTGTCGAGAACTAAAACATTATGGGTGTATGGCGGATTTGCTGGCACGTGCAGGGTTGATTAAAGAAGCTATGGAGATGATAAAGGCAATGCCAATGGCTGGTGATGTGTTTGTGTGGGGTGGTTTGCTTGGTGGGTGTAGGATACATGGGCACGTTGAGCTTGCTGTTAAAGCTGCTGAAAATGTGATGGAGGTGAAACCAGAAGATGGTGGGGTGTATTCAATCTTGGCAAATGTGTTTGCAGATGCTGGTCGTTGGGATGATTTGGTCAGTATAAGGAAAAGAAGAGATTGTGCAAAGATCAAGAAGAGTGCTGGTTGTAGTTTGATTCAGTTGAATGGGATGACACATGAATTTATTTCATGGGATGACTTGCACCCTCAAAGTAACGAGATATATTCCGTCTTAAATTGTCTACAACTCAATTTGAAGCATTCTATTGCCGATAGGGTTTTGATGAACTAACAATACATTCTTTTCACTGGTACATCTATACTACTGTCATTTGACGTGTAAAAAAGTTCTTGAGTAACATCTCAGTCCAGGTTCTGTGTATTTTCTTTTTTTTCCTCGACTACACAAACTTCGTTTGTTTATAGACAATTCTTAAATAGCATTTCTCTTCCACGAGCTACTTCAGGCAATACATCGCTGGATTATGCTTTATTGGTGATAGTTGTATTCATCTTTTCCACTTAGCCAAACGACATACTGGGGACTTTTCTGTTTGAGCAAATGCGCAGCCATTACAAAGTCATCATACTTAGTTTATTCCCTCCTGCCAAAACAAAACAGTGAACTGTAATTGCCATTGGCATAAACCTTTAGAAATGGCAAAGAAGATGATTGGATCCAGTTCACTACTTCTCTTAAAAGTAACTTTTATGTTCTTTTAGTTAGTCAATACTGTACACAAACGCTCATAAAGCGATTGCAAAATATAATATGCAAATTGATTGTGGCTATTTCAGGAAGTAAAATCTAAATACCTGTGAAATTGTTCAAGAAATATTTCAGCTTAAAAGAAGATTAAACACGTCTCTCAAAGTGATTATGCCTTCTACCTGCCGGGAATTGGGATCAATAACCACAATGCGCCGGACAACTGAATCAAAAAGAGAAGGCATTCATATTAGAAGATTATGAGGCTCACAAGAAGAAGAAAAAAGAAGAGGTACAAACTTGGATCTGAAATGAGCTCCATTATCTTATAGAGTGAATCGAAACGTGTGCATGTCCTACAACGATCACGAGATACTTCATCTATGACCTCCAGGACCTGCAGTGAAATTGAATATGCATTATATGCAGAAAAAGTAGAAGAAACCTTAGGTAACAGCAGGATTACAACTTCAATCTACGCGGATTTACACACACAGTAATAGAATGTCCGCATGCCCTAAAAGGATCATCACCACGCCAACACTATTTACCAAAAAGATTCTGCAGTACTTTTACCCATAATATCTTGAATTAATCAAGATGAAAGAGTTCCAAGAAGCAAGTAAAAACCAAATGGTAACTAAAGTTTAAGCAGCTTTATATCACCATACAAGTATGACTGTCCATTTAAGTCTTCATAGAGTTATTCTGCATACCAAAGAAAGTTTGGAGACAAGAAAAATGTTTTTAAATAAATTCACCAACTTTTGTAGCCCATAGAATTCTTTTGCATGCCAGCACCTCGCTTATATTAGCAAGCATGATAATCTTGAGGGGACAAGAGACAGTGGATTGAAATGCACTTACTTGGGCCATTGTCATCTGGTCAAGCCGAAAGCGAGCATACACATTGCCTCTCGCCAAAGAGGTAATGTCACTATGTAAAGACAGCAAAATCACAAGTTTGTAATACTTAAAATAACAAACCAACTTCAATGATGCTGAAAATGAAAAATCTCAAGCAATTACCATCAGAAGCGCATGAATTACCTCCGAGAGTACACATTTATAAGGGCTCCATTATCATCAAGGATAGGTATTGAACTTATCTGACCTGTCAGAGCAAGAGAAAGACGTGCTTAGTACACGTCTTAGTTAAACAATTTTGTTCTACTCATATAATATTGTGAACCTTCTATTAGTAATTTAAGAGCAGAACTAAGGGGATCTCTGCTGTATAATGTTAACAATACACGGCTGCTTGCCCTTCCACCAACTTCTCTTGCCCATGTACCTAATGGAAGATTACCCACTGGTTGCTGCAGAAGAGGCAGATACTCAAGAGAGTGCCTAAAATGCCTGCATATGTCTAGGATTTTCCAAGGAAGAGATAAAACCAAACATAAGCCCTTGCGAAAAACATTATGAGGAAAAAACTGCAGAATTGGAAAGCAAATTATAGAGAAAACACACGCTTTGATATTCCTGCAAGGCATGCAGTATGCAACAACTGCACACACGACTCGTCTTCTGGTGAATGTAAAAGTGGAACTGCAGAGATCTTATTGTGTAATAATAATAGG